GGAGCGGGAGGGGCGGTGGCTGCACGCACGCCAGCCGCGTCAGGGGGGCTCTTCCGCCTCCTCGGACGCTGCTCCCCCGGGAGAAGCTCTGGCCGCCCCCGACGTCAGTGAAAGCTTTGCACCACGCCGGACGCTGGCTGAGACCAGCTCCCCTCCGAAGTGGATACCAGCTCTGGTGAGGGTATGAGGCTGGAACGCGGCTTCCAATACGCCCGATTACGGTTAGGATCTTCCGAGCAGTAGTAGATGAAGAGGGCCTGCGAGGTGCCTACAACAGCAGCAGGATCTCAAACACGTCCAACTGCTTTCCCCTCCACCGTACGACTCTTCCACCCGCCGCCAGTCCCAATATGGCGTCAATAACAACGCCGCCGATTCAAATCCTGCGGCCTCAGGGCGCCTGCGCGTAGGGGCGGGCCTAACGCGCATGCATTCTGGGAGTTGTGGTATTTCCCCTTGAGTAGATAACGGTGTGAAAAACGGTTAGGGAGGAGGCATAGAAACTACGAGTCCCATGATGCAAAGCGCACAAATCTGAGTTCCGGGTTGAAATTTAAATCCCCCATACACAGCTAAAGGCTACTAGGAACTGAGCAAAAGAGAAAAAAGAAAATGCTCCGAGGCAGACTGAGAGAGGGAAGAGAACCCGTGGGGATAGCAAGCTAAGCAACAGAGAGAGACCTGTAAGACTCAGAACACAGTTGCTCTCGCAGTTACTTCAGCGGAAATAGAAAAGAGCCGACCTAATAGTCTAAGAGATTAATTTTGGTAATGAGAGTGTCAAAAAACAAAACCTGTCACATCAAGGGGACAGGAAATAATGAAAAGATTTTGACACATATGTGAGACAGAACCACAGTAGTGGCATCAGATTACAGGATTTTCAATCGAACTCTTAACTCTTGTGTTTTGTGCATTCCAGGTAGCTGCTTTAATACATATTAAATTTTGTAAAGGCATCTTTGCTTCTGTAAATGAATAGGGTTGAACTAAGTACAGAACCAAGTTGTTTTGCTCTGAGTAAAAAATGAGTGATGCCAGAAATTGCATTATCAGTTGAATCTGGTGTACATCTTGTGAACATTAACACCTAAAGCAATCAGAAGTCATGAGAAAATGTCTAGATAAGTAAACACGGGACCCATTTTATAAGCTAAGGGGTAAAATGTTTCCAAAGATTGTATTCTTCATTAAGTACCTAAAATAAGAATTAAAAACAACAATTAAAAAGTGATTTACGTACAAACTATGTCGTCCTACAAACTATGTCATCCTCTGCCTGAGGATACTTTCACCAATCCAAACAACTATTTGAATATCATTATTAGCTGAATATCAAATACTGAGTTCTAATATTTATTCCTATTTACTTAATAACATTTTGCAGCCATTTTGTCTATTATTCTACATACCATCTTTAGACAATAATTCAGTATATCCTTGTTTTTTAGGATAATCCAACACCTCAAGATCAGAAGTCTTGATCACACTGTCAACAATAAGCCATGCTAATTTTAATTTAGAATATTATACTTTTTGGAAAACTTTTTTCTGAAAAAGACAAGCATTTAATTAAACAATAGTTTGACAATGACACTAAGTAAACTTTTACTAAATTCTAGGCACTCCATAAAATCCATGATACTATGAAATTAATAGAATACTCAATTTTATGTAAATGAGTAGAAAAATATTCTCCGTAAATATTATCTGAAATTGATTTGTTCTTACATTATAGCATTTATATTGAAGGTGAGTGTTATGAGCTGAATTGTGTTCCCTCAAAATGCATATGCTTGAGTCCCAAGTACCTCAGAATGTGACATTATTTGAAACAGTGTTACTTCCTAAGTAACTCTTTAAGATTAGATCATACTGGAATTGGGTAGGCCCCCTAATCCAACATGACTAGTATCCTTCTGAAAAGGGAAAATGTGGACAGATAGAAGGTAATGATATGAAGGTATAGGTTAAAATGATACGTTTACAAACCAAGGAATATCAAAGATAGCCAGAAAGCCACTAGAAACTAGGAGAGAGGCACTAATTAGTCCTCACAGTCCTTAGAAGGAACCAACCCGGAGGACACTCAGTCTTAGAATTCTATTCTCTAATTCTGTGACAGTAATTTTCTGCTGTTTAATCTACCTGGTCTGTGATCCTTGTTATAGCAGCTGTGGAAAACTAATACAGGGGGATTGTGATTATCTTTTGAGATACACTAGGCTGCCTGGAAAATGAAAAAAGTTTGCATTTATTGTGTGCATGGGGAGATATCTGATAAACAACAGTTTAGTCATAATAGCCCCTTGTGTGGTCATCACTGCACAGCATATCTGCAAAGGCTGTCAAAATTAAACAGCAACAGGGTTGGGGAGCCTCTCCTACCCTAGGATTACATAAACTAAGACAAGGGGACCCTTCCCTATTCATCTCCATCTTTGCTCACGCTCTCTTGCTCCTCACTTGTTGCTTAACTACTTGCTAAGACTCAGCCCAAGCATTAACTCTTCTATGAACCCTTCTCCAATGCCTCAAGCTTCAGTTTTATAGACTTACAGAGGACACACTCATCTGCATACCTTCATCATTATTGTCACCTCACTGAAAAATAATTCTGTTCACATATCTGCTTTTGCCACCACTGTATTAGCTCCTTACCAACAGCATAGTTACCTTGCCCACCTCAATAGCATCCATTCAGTATTTCTTAAACATTTTCCACCACCTTGACCTCTCAATAACCTATATTATCTTTATCTTTTAAAATATATCTGAGCCTGGGATTTAGCTCAATGGCACCACACCTGCCTCACAAGCACAAGGTCATGAGTTTGGTCCCCAGTACCAAAAAAACTAGATATCTACTGGAATACTATAGCAATCATTTTAAGGTAGAAGCTTTTAGAGAAAAAAAATACCCACAAAAATATCTCAGACTAAACTTGAACATAATAATAAACCCTAGGTTTTAGCAGTTGAGAATTTTTCTATTTTATAGAAAAGAAAAAAAACTAACACATTAATAAGTTGAATCAGGTCACATGAATCTAAGTATAATACAGCTAATGGTTCCTGTGACCTACACAGACCAGAATTACTTGTTAGGAGTAAAACACCAAGTTTTAAAGACTTAAAATATTTGGAATAATTTTACTGCAATCCAGGAAGTATCTCCTGATTTGTACAATCTCAGAAGTCTCTAAAGAAAATGAAACTATTTCACTAAGATACTGGTATTTGCTTGCTATTAGACTTTTCTAACACCTCTCAAAAATATTCCCCAGGATCTGATTCTGATGAGTCATTCTTTGACTAAAGCCAGTAAAAGTAGACATGGCTGGATAGAATAAAACCTTATCATCCTGAGCCTGAAGATCCACTTTGTAATATGTCATTTTCAGACAAATCTTCTGATACCAAATAAAGATAAATGCAAATATATAAGGTATGGAGAGGTGTTTGCTGACTTTTTAATGCTGAGTGTGAATAACTGTAGGCTCAGCATTAGAAACATCAGTTCTAATTTAGGAGCCACTTCAAATCTATATTCAGAGTAAGGATTGCCTGGGGAAGAAAAATTGTTTAATCATTGTGTAAATGAGTGCAGTTAGGAAAGAAAAGCTATATGATTCCTTCTGCATAAGAGTTTGAAGGGTTTCTCAAACCTCTTTTAAGCATCATATTTGCAATACACAGTATTTTGTGTTGTAGATATGATGCTAGCTAGTTTTTTGTTGTCGTTTTAAATGTTGATATTATTTTGAGATGATTGGATAGAGCGTAGAGTAGTCAGAATTGTTCCTTGACTTATGATAAGACCATGTCCAAATAAATTCATTTATAAATTGAAAACGTTAAGTTGAAAATGTGCTTCATACACCTAGCCTACAGACATCATAGCGAACACAATATATTGTAGAATGTCGATTGCTTCCCCTCATAATAGCATGGCTGATGATACAACACCAAATATTGCTGGCCAGGGAAGAGATCCAAATTTAAAGTAATTTTCTGCTGAATGTATATTGCTTTCCTACCATTGTAAAGTCAAAAACTCCTAAGTTGAATCATCAAAAGTCAGAGACCATGTGTTACTTCCACTGATTTCAAAAGGTCACCTAATACAGTCCCCAGGCTCAAAAAAAGATTACCTATATTCAAGCGAGATCAGTATCTGGCCTGACTCTTCCTTAAGATTTTCATTAACAACATCCAAAGTCCTGTGCAAGTGTAAAAACACAACCACAAATTCTCTTCTATTTAGTTTTAGTTGCTTCTCCATCAGAAACTGACTTTTTGTATAGTACCATATAAAGAGCAATGCACTCCAGAAAATAAGCTATAACTCAGAGACTTTTAAAAAGCCACATGAGCTTTGCGCAGTGGCAGTATCGTAGCCAATGAGGTTTATCCGAGGCGCGATTATTGCTAATTAAAAAGCCACATGATAGATTTGAGTAGCCAAAATAAAATTCTATAGCATCTTCATTTTAAAATTTGCATACTTAAGTACATACCCTCAAGTACCTTTAGCCTTTCACAGAACTATTTATTCTTACTTTACAGAAAAGCCTTAATGCTTGGGGATCTTATTTTCCAGCCTAAAGCAATTAAAAGAATCAAGTAGGAGAGGGAAATAGGAATTGAATGCAATACCATATACCAGCTATAAAAAGAAATGCGATCATTGGAAGTGAGAAAGATTGTAAGAAATAACTAGATAATTTTTTAAGAAGCACAACAGCCTTGCAACACATTCCTATCAGGTTAATTCTACCTTAGCTCACTACAGTTGAGGCATCAGGATACAATTATAACACCGTATCATAATGATAGGGTTGCCAAAAGCAACAGATAAAAATAAGACACCATTTAAATTTTAAGTTCCAATAAGGAATAATTTGTTATTACAGTAGAAGTATTTCATTAATCTTTCCTATGAAATCCAAATTTTACTGAGTGTCCTGCATTATATCTGTCAGCCTTCACAAGGAGCACAAGATGGAGACCCCCAAGTCATCAAAAAGCATAACTAGGTTTAGTATAGTTCAAAAAGTATATGAGATAAAATATTAGAAAATGTTCCATTAATAGTGCGTAGAATTAAGAGAATCAAGTTTCAGTTGTGTGGAAAATTAATTTATATGAAACATTTTGGGCCATGTATGTTCTACTCACTGCAAAGTGGCAGGCATAAAATACACAGTAAACATTTGATGAATAAGGAAAAGTTTAACACACCATCTCGCCATTGGTAAGCACTTCATACACCCGAAGTTTGTCCCTGGCTCCAGTTAGTTTTAGAACGACTCCATACCTCCTACTACAGGCGTCGGCTCCATTGGTTTGCTTACATCCATGCCTGGGTCAGAGTTGGTATCACTGTCTGTGTCAGGCTCCCGTTCCCTCTTGGGCTTTTGTTGCCGTGCTTCCATAATGCTACCTGAAACCTCTGATGAAGCTTTGCAAGAAATTGAGTCCCTGTATTTCCCACAATATTTTGGGCTTCCATCTACAAGCCCATTGTTATAAGGGTCAATCAGGTGTGTGGTGTGAAAGAAAGAGGCCCAGTCTTTCCAATCTTACCCACTGATAACAAACATCACCCTGGGACTAATTATAGGCTGGTTGTAGCTCACAAGCCTGTGTTAAGGCTAGGGCTTAACAGAATGCCCAACAAACTGTCCTGCTGATCTTTGTGGCAAGGTTAGTCCAAGAAGTTGTCCCCACTTAGCCTTAAAGGAAATCATGCAAAGAGTTTGCCTTTGAGCAATAGGTCATTGGGTGGGTCCATGGGAAAAAGACATGGTTCTCCCATTTAAAGTTTACATTTATGATAATTTGGAAAAGAAAAATGCATATAACTTTTTTGGAGGAAAAAGGTCATTCCAATTACCATCAGTTTGAAAACTAAAAGCCAGTACATCTCACAATGCTACCTAGTGCATAGTAAATCCTTAGTAAGTGCTGATGTTACTACCATGCTATGGCAAATTGCAAAATCATCCCAAACCTGAGGTAGGAAGAATCTCAAGAGTATCTTCTTGTCGGTTAGACTGCCCAGAGGCCAATTATGAGTGCTGGGCCCCAGACTGAGTCAGCCATCCCCCTCCACATACCACTCAGTGCCTACACTCAGAAGTAAACTGCTGCCAATGACTTCTACTCAGTTTTGCCTTACTCCCGGGTAATGAAGTTAATTCTGACTATATTTGTAGGGTGGCGCCTTATTATCTCTTCTTATGCTTCAAAGACTTGTCCCAAAAAGAAATGGGAATTCAGATTAAAACTGAATGCTCCCAACTATTTTCCAGCTGTCGTTCCAATTCTAATTCATTTTTTATTGGTTTGATCATTCCCAATTGTCAATCCAAAAAATCACAACAGTTTTGAAACAAAGGACATGGTTATCTACTGAAAAGAGAATCAACTAGCTAAACCTGATGCTCTCTGACAAGCAGTCCAGGAGTAAGTGATGTAAGCTTTATAGCCTGATTTCTAATCCCAAACACCCACTCTGGCTTTTAGGTTCCAAGATAAAATAGTAATCAGCTTAATTTAACTAGTCTGTTGGCAGCTTATTTTAGAATACAAAAAGTGACATGAAAGGTAAGTTGGGATGTATTAAAAAAACCTTTTTAAAATTTGAGAGTGGTCTTCCTTATTTAAATCATCACTCATCTAGAGTCTACTAATCAAAGACCCTGGCAACAGAGGCATGCAAGATGAAAAAGACTCTGTTTCCTCCCCAAGGAAGCTTACAGTGTGGTGGAAGATATATGTACACAAATAATTCTATAGAGAATGTAAAAGAGCTCACTCAGAGAACAGATAGGGTCTAAATCAGTAAAGTCAGGAGATAGGGTGCTTCTGTAATTTCACTTGAGTGAGAACCTAGGTTAACAGGATTTGGGGGGAATAAAAGTTATTATTTCTAGAGATTCCACAATTACCCCATTAGTTTTTCAGTTTATCGTAATACAAATTCTACAAGGTAGTAGTGTTGATCCAATTTTATGGCTGAATTTGTGGCTCATGGCTCTTAAAGTCTCACTCCAAAATAAGTCAGAATTGAGACTATAACCCGAGTTTATAAAATTCCAAAGATGTGTTTGACACTCCTGACTTGGCAGCAAAAAAACATGAAGGGAAGAGACAGATTAATTTACATCTTACAAACCTTATAATGGAAATTCTAGTGAGTGGTCAATGATACATATATAAATAAAAATATATGGATATATTTATATATAAAATATATATTTTCTTGGTGCTGGGGATAGAGCTCAGTGCCTTGCTTATGCTAAATAAGCACTCTACCACTGAGCTACATCCTCTGCTCCTAAAAATAATATATACCATTAAGCGTAATCTCAACATATTTCCAAAAGATATAAAAGAATATCACCTGTTTAAAAAAAAAAGAATTGTAAACCAGGTGTGGGGACACATGCCTATAATCTTAGAACTCTGGGAAGCTGAGGCAGAAGGATTACAAATTTGAGCCCAGCCTGGGCAATTTTGCATTTTAGCAAGAGCCTGTCTCAAAAATTTTAAAAGTGAAGAGGAGGCTGAGGCTATCTATACCTTGGTGCAAAAGCTCTGGAATCAGTCCCCGGTGCCACCCCCCCACCCCACACTATAACCTAGGATTGTGTCACTGTGTTTTGTTTCTCCGTGAAACCTGGTACTTGAGCACAAAGCTCTCCAGGGTGATATTCATGGTCCTATGCTTATGCTTTAGGCAACTGTGAGTTCCTAGAGAGTACTGTATTGTGGAATAACATGTGGCCTATCTGACTTCTTTTCCTAAGTAGTCTTTCTCTGTGTCTCCAAAACAGCTAGAGAACATTTTTCTACAGATTACTAAAAGTAATTCCTAAATCATATTAACCACATCTTTTACTTACCTGCTAATAAGCAACTAAGTAGAAATTCAGGTTCTTTTCATTCTCTCCTTGCTATTCAAAGTGTGGCCCATGGACTAGAAAAACTGGCATGAGTTGGAGCTACTGAACCAAAATCCACATTTTAACTGCCCCCCTTTAGTGGTTCACTTAGCTAGCTTTTCCCTGGTAGATAAGCTAATGACATTCTGGTTTGGTGGTCTTTAGTTGTGCGTCATGCCCTCCCTGTGAGGCTAGGTCTCAGAGATAGTAAGATAACTAAGACATTGCCCCTGTAATAAAAAGAAGATAGAATAAAAGGCGAGAGTCTAGGCAATCTGAAAACATTCACCTGAACCAATGAGACTTTCTGTATGTAAATGTCCTACCCTGCAAAACAATAGAATTTAAGTTGGGCTTGGTGGCACATGTCTGTGATCCCAGCACTCTAGGAGGGTGGGCAAGGGAGGTTGGGTCACAAATTCAAGCCCAGCCCTGGCAACTTGGTGGTCTAGCAAGGCCCTGTCTCAAAATAAAAAAAAAATGAAAAAAGGGCTGGTGATGTAGCTCAGTACGAATCGGTATGACAGCTCATAGGCTCAATCCTCAGTACCACCAAAAAAAAAAAAAAAAAAAATAGAGTTCAGAATGGCTTTCAATGGAGATAATGGAGCTCAATATTGTTTGCTTCTTAAGAGAGCATAGCTCAGGAAAGTAGCAACAAGAAAAATAACAAATGTATATATCTCCCATACTTCTAAGTAGTTCCTTCATTCCATAGTAACTATCCCAGCGCTGCACTCAAAGATGTCCAAGCACCTATGACTGTTTATATTTATTGAGTGTTTGCTACATGCCCATGTCTCTGAGTACCTTTTTGCTAGGTGCTCCAGTTACAGATAAACACTTCCTCAGCCCGGGCCTCGGCGATCTTAAGGTAAGACCAAACAACTACTAGACAATCTTGTAGCACAAACAGAAGGCTGCAGGTCCAGATTGAGGGGAAAGGACTAATTCTGCCCTAATTCTCTTTCCTTTGTAAACCTTGTAACATTGACTTCATGACATAGGTGTCCCTTTCAAGAATGTCTTTAGCACCTAAGATGGAAGTGTTTGAATTGGAGATAGCTGCTTTCTTCACAAGTGGAAATAGCTTTGATAAAAACTGGAGCATCATTTACTATGCAACATTATTTCTGCTACAGTTGTGACTCAGCATTCCAGCACTAAGCAGGGTGTATGGCTTTGTTCCTAGACACAAGATAAGTACACAGGATAAATCAATGGTAGTTTAGATACCTTTATAAAAATTTGACATAATCACAACTTGCAAGTACATCACCAGGGAACTAGTCTCATTGAGCAGGCAGAGTTCAGGTGTTGAACTAGAATTGGTGAGTCATATGTGACATCAACTTTGTACTAGCAGTAGTGAAATATTTTTAAGGTTAACTTTGTCAACTATAACCCTAAAATCTAAAAACTCCAGAATTCATCTTATTTGTTTTCCAAAGATAATTTAAATTTAACTATAAAGATCAATTTTGGAACTGGCTACTGGAGAAGGATTTAAAAATGATTGTTGAATACATCACATACTCCATTTTGGATAAAAGTTGAAAATAAA